TCTTGCCACGGTATATGCCTTGTTCATGAGAGAACATATGCTATCGTGCTTATCGGAAGTCAATGGCATCGAGAGCATACGTTTATGCTGAACTGATATCGTATTCTATATGAATATGGCCTTCCATTCTATATGGCCTTCCTCTTACCCCGTCTTGAACCCTTCGCGGAGGGCGGCCNNGGGGGGGGGGGGGGGGGGAATAGTGCGGGCGGCAACAGGTGTTCCTGGTTGCCTACACCTCCATCTTTATGGCCTTAGCCTATGCAATAAACTACACTTTTATAATGTATGTCACTCCCCAAAGCCCGATCAAAATGCTGGTTCAGGGTCTGCATCCACAGGCATCATTGCACAAGTCGTGGTTCACAGTCAAACAGGTCAAGGCTTGCCCATAGCAGGTGAGGTTCTAGGTTTGAGACCCGATAGGTAAGATGTGTTATATAGGGCAAACTTGAAGTTGGGCGCATTGGCAAACGTGAGGCGACCCGAGTGAAGCCTGGGTACCTTTAGGAGGGGTGTTCTTTGGGAGCGAACAGGCTCATTCGGGGGAACATCGTGGCCATCCCCCCAACAAGACGCGAAGACAGGCCGTCGCGAGCAGTGGGGGCTAGGCCTCCGGGCCACGGGACTTCCTGTTCCCATACCCCAAGCAAGCAAGCAAGCAAGCAAGCAAGCAAGAGAGAGAGAGAGAGAGAGAGAGAGCGCGAGTGAGCGAGAGAGCGAGCGAGAGAAGCATTTGTGTGTGTGACTACATATCTGTATATACATCTGCAGGAGCATCGAGGCGATCCTGAGGGAAGCGCTTCCCCAGGACAAGCCAGACAAGAAGAAGGTCAGAGTGCTGGACTCGTGCTCAGGATTTCGAGCGCGATGTGCTGCAGGAATTCTGGCCGAGCGAGCATTAATCAAGCCTGTGTAAAAGGGTTTATGAGTTTGCGGGGGTCGAGCGGCTAAACTGTAGAGGGTTCTAGGTAGTGCTAGCAGGTTTCTATGGAAGTGAGAGTTTGGTGGACGTTTGGTTTTGAGCTTCACAGCCTTAGGCCAGGCCCCATGGCCTCCCACACCTCGGTTTCGAAGATAAAAAGCAGAATCCAGTTTGGCTCCATGTTTACTGTGGGGCAGTTGTTTCTCCTAGCCTCTAAGGCACTGTGATGACGGGTCTGCATACATGTGTGTGTGATCTTGTCAGGTTTTGCCAGTCCCACCCCGCACACTTTCAAAAGACGGGCACAAGCAGATTGTTCTAGCGGACCCTCGTCGCCATTTTTTGGTTGGGAACTCTAAACGTCATTCAGCGCGACCCTTCATGAACGTTCAACTCGCCATGTGATATGGTCCAAACGATACGCAGTGTCATTATGTAATTAGGGATGATGTTACAAACAACGGGGAATACATACACTTACTGAGGCTCCTGCATGTCACAATTCCGTGGCTGGCCTGTACTCTGCCAACCTAGGGTGCAGAATGGCACGGAATAATGGCCCAAGGGGCTCATGCTAGCGCAGCTTGAGTACAACTCAAAGCAGGTCATCCACTTCATGTCCGTGGACACGGAGGGGTCGCTTCGGCCATATCTCGCAGACCGATGGTTCCCGGTAGGGGCTGGCGGGGTTTCAGGCTTTCCGGCTTAAGCTTCTGTTCTGGTTGGTACAGTTGGGCTGATGCCACGGCTTGGCTGGTGATGTTTTTTGTTACATGGATACATCGGCCAGGCACAGTGCCTTTGATTTTGTGATTGCGCACAGCAATCCACAGCAATCTGCACGAAATCAAGTGCTCTGCAAATGCCTAAATCCTTCTTCTGCCGGCTCGCAGTTGAGACTAGAGACCTGACCAAGAAGCCCGGATGTCGTGGCAACTGTAAGAAAGGGGTCAACATAAACGTCTAAACCGAACCCCCGGCCTTGGCACCAAAGGTCGGAGCTGGAGATACTGCAGACATTTCCTTTCGACCGCTATTCGGCACCGATTCTGGTTAAAGCAGACGAAGCTGGATTGCCTCTATGTAAGCATCATGATGTACCATGCACATAGCCGCCGTGATCTTATGCCTGCATCAATCGACGCGTGTCTGGATGGATGAATGGGCGCGTCGGTAGCGCCTCGGTCTCGTCTGTATGCATGCGGTGCATGCATGTCAATGTATTTTTTATGCACACACATAGCATGTGTATATACATATTACATACACACACACACACACGCTCCCATGCACAGGTGTGCAGACGCATCTTTGCAATCGTTGCATTACGGCTATACATGCGTCGGAAGTTGGTTGCAGTGCCCAGCATGCCAGGGCTCAGAGGGCCTTTGGGTGCATGACACCTCTGCCTGGAAAATTTTGAACCTTGAGTCCGGCTAGCTGAGGCTACCTCCCGGTTGCTATTGCCGTGTGCCTCTCAGCCATAGCTTCCGAGAAGTACGCGGGGCACTGGTGAGTATCCTGTGCTAGATTTAAGAAGAGAGAGTTCATGGCATGATGCGGAACAGACATTTGCGGCTTCTCACTGTGAATCTAGACAAGGTCCGTGACAGTTAGATTCACTGGATCTGGAGTCTGAAGCTAAATTTGAACCTTAATTTGGACGGCATCTCCGGATCTGCTGCCGTCAGTGCAAGGTGGAGCATTTGCACTTCGAGCCGAAGAAGTCGAACACCCGAGCATTTCTGCAAGACCTCGGCGCCTCGTCCACGGTTTGCAGCAGTTTTTCTGTTGGCAGGTGTTGGGGCGAAGCCAGGTCCTGCAGCCCAGATGTATACTTAAGCTGCTAGGCAGCTTGAGGTGTTATCAATTTGGCATGCTGAAGCAGCGGGGACCTCCCTTCGGATAGCTGAAAGAAGGATCACTAGGTTGAACCTTCGTTGTCCAGGCTATGACCTCGACGTCGAGGCGCATGGGTCCACGTACTGGTAATCATAGTCTCTGTTAAATCTCGGTTCTCGGAGATGTATGGGGTCTGAACTCGGCTTGGACAGCAGATTGAAGGAGTGGCATAATTACCAAATGTTGTCCGTAGGGTTGATGATGAACTTACTAAACTTACACACCGTCGCGTCATTCCCTGGGCGTCAGGCAGGACACGACGACTTATTCTTGCTGAGAGTGGCGCAAGCCGACACCTGAGGTCTCACAACACCCTGAGCCCCGCATTTACGAGGCTCTTGTGGCAACGTCAAGCATGACCCCACTTTGCACAAAGCTGCATCCGCCTTTGTGCAAGATCATCGGTTGCAAAAGAAGGAGCACACAGCCATTCCTGAAGGTGAGGATCTCGAGCTTAAGGTTTCGGCATGTCGCACTGGGAGACTTGCCTCCACATGTTCCCTAGCACTTACTGTGGATCTCATTGCGTAGACTTTCTGAAGATTCTGCTGCATGGGCACTTGCAGCCAATTCTGACGACGTGCTTCCCATACCTGCTTTTTATGGCAATTGTGCTTCCCTTGTCGGAGCACCGCAGGGTCGGAGTCGGGTAGCTGCAGGATCTCGGGCTGCTATCTTGCTGAACTTGTTTAGACACATGCACTATGATGGCTGCCTTTGCTGCTGGTCCTGCTGCTGCTATTGCTACTGCACTTACACCGCCGCCACCACGACCACCCCTATACTACACCCAGCACCTCTTCGATACCGCTGTAGTGGCACAACCTCTGCTCTGCTTCCACGATCAGCCAGCTTGCACGTGCCACCGGGTGACAGACAGGACCTATCTCAGCAAGTGCAAAGAAGACCTGGACCGCGCTTTGCGATGACAGTGGCCGCCGAAATGCAGCATGCCGCTGCACATCTGCATCTCGCCAGAACCCTCGAAAACAGATCCCAGCAGGGTTTACAGACACGGGAGATTGGGTATCGGTGTACCAACTTGTCCTTGTCAGGACGAGGAACCCTCGCGTAACTGCGTTTCCGTTCCAGGGCTGCTTCAACCACGTGCTGTTTGTGATGAAGTTATACTTTCAAGATGAGGGGCACAACATGTGTAGCGCTTTCCTTTGCTTGCCGAGGCATTTGCCCGCGTGCCGGACGTGCAATTCAGATACCAGCATGATCCCAGTGCACGCAGTGTGTACCGCCGCGATGGTCCAATTTGTAAATAATTGCTGCGCTCTCGAACTCTTACTATAGATTGCTCAGGCCGGAGAGAATTGACTGCAAGGCACTCACCATTCAGGTACTAGTAGCAAGGCAATCAATCAATATATATATATATATGTGTGTGTGTGTGTATTTATATGTATTTACATAAGTAATTCAATATGATATATTATACATACATATATATATGTAAATAAATAAAACCAACATACCCCAGCAGCACAGCATCTTGAAGTCAGCGGGTTGCCTCTGGGCCCACAAGCCGGTCAAACGGTTTCACCATCTTGCGACTGAGGTTCTGATTGGAATTCAAAGACTGAGTCCAATCAGAAATCATCCATAGATAAATGCCTTGCCATTCGGCACGATTATTACAAAGAGTTTCGATTGCTGCGATGCAGAAACGAGTTTGTTGGCATTACTGTCATGGAATTTTCCTGGTGTGAGTTGTAAGCTTCTGGACTTCGGATGGCAAGACAACGGGGCATCGGAATCGATGGCCTTCAGATCAAGGTCGGACGCCAAGAACAGGCTGCGAGACATTGCCAGCCAGCGGAAAAGAAGCCAGAGCCAGTTTCCGTGCTTCTGCAGATCAGGAGGTCGTCAGGAGCACAGCATGTACTGGCACCTTTATGCGATCCTAAGCGGTCCTCCATACACGGTCGCTGATGCATCAGGTCAACAACCCATTCTTCACAGCTGTTACCAGTTGTCTGTTTGCTTGCATTGTTACGACGGCTACTTATATTATCATTATTCTGAACACTACTGCTGAATACTGCCATCAAGACTGGCTCTTATTAACGAAGGCTATTTTGCTGTGAATTACTTTTGAATGCAGATGCCGCTGTTACTGGCCTGATGGCGCATCTTTGACACCCCCCTGGTTCCGGCGAGGACGATGGGCAAGGCAGCAGGGTACGTTGCGCATGATATAGTATGGTGATACTCTTGGCCACGCTTCCGTTAGTGCGTGTGCCTAAAGCAGTGGCTGAAAACAGCATGCAGTCGCGCTTTTCCGTCACAGTGGAAAACAGTATAGGAGCGTCTCAACGAACGTTCGCGCGAACACTTACTAACAAGTAGTGACCGTTCAAGATGCCTGTCCACTCAAAGCCGCACTTCACCCTTGGGCAGGTAAAGAAAGCTCACCTCAAAAGCAAGCACCTTGGACCAAACATTCACCGATTGCATGGGCATGACATGAGAAGTGCTTTCCGTGATGTGTGTTGTTGGACTCTCAGCCCGAGCCGAGGAAAGCGAAAGCTAAGCAGGTGTTGCCGGCGCTTTGTTTCAAGGGCTGTTCATCCGCAATACGTGCTGTGACCTGATGCCTTCAGCGTTTTAGAGTGACTCTGGGTCCGAAAACCATTTATTTTCGCTGTGTTTGTGTACTATCGTTGCTGCAACCCAACACGACCACGACTGTGATGCCAACTACGACCATGTGCTACCTAGTACTACCATATACTACCACGACGACAACGACTACTCCTGCTCCTCCTCCTATGAGGAGCGCATAGAGCCGGTTCGCACACCCTTTCTGTTCACTCCAAGAGCCTTCTTCGTGTCTTGATTCCATTGGGACCCTCATCACCCGTGTGTAGCACGAAACTCTTCATCTGTCTCGCAGGGAGCTCATTTTGCAAATGCCTCAGGTCGAGAACTTGCAAGGTTTCGTTTGTTTCAGGTAGAGTCCAGGTCGAGGCGCAGAGTTGTGGGGTTTTGAAGTTCGGATAGGTTTAGTGGCCCAGGCTTTATAGGGGTTTCGAGTGTTCCGGTTAGGGCTTGTAGGTCTTTGGGTGTAAGGTTTTGCTTGTGGACTTCCTGCAGACTGCTACGGCTACGGGCATTCATTTGCAACTGTGCTGGACTATTCATGTGCTCATGGCAGGCAGCCAAAAAAAAGGATGAGGACGCTGATGTTTCGGTGGAGCCGCCGAAAGAATCGAGCCACGACATGAAGAGGAGGGGCCTGCCACACCTGAAAAAGCTGAGAATGCGGACCGTGTTCCCTCGGGCTAGAGCTAGAGTTCCGATCTAGTCATCGTGCATGGCAGCGCAACCACTCCAGACCCATCTGCATGCAACTCTCAGCGTTGGGAAGAAGTGCCGGAAGAGTAGCTCCTGTCCGCGATTTCTAGTGCCACGCATGTTGGCTTGAACCCAAAGCCAGCAATCCAAATCGAAGCTCAGCCCATTTGGTGATGCCAGGTCTGCCTACGGCCTACTGGCGCTTACTTCAGATGAAATGCCCTAAGTTCATGCAAGGTTACAGAACCCGAATCTTCAGCTTTTAGAGCAAGCATCCGCAAAACCCGTCAAGAATAGAACCCTAAATCCTAAACTCGACAAAGAGCTCACTTCCTCCTCCGTGTTGCAGGCGTCACGCAGCTGAGCGCAAAGCACTCAAGGCGCCTTGGGCATAAAGCTTGAGTCTCACACCTGGCATGCCACGAACTTGGAACTTGTAGGAGGATTGCAGCCAGGGCAAGACATGTGTCACGGAACTGAAATTACGCTTTGATCTTTGTTACTGTGATTGTGCTATTCAGCGTCCCCAATCCCAATTCTTCAGACAGAGCTGCCAGTTGTCTTGACTGCCAAGTTAAGATAAATTAAGCCACACCAAACCGAGTTGAGAGTCCAGATGATTGAAATTAGTCCAGAGATTTCCGGGCACCTGTAAATTTACAAGCCTCCAGGCGAACTTCTTTCGAGCTCTAAGTATCCAGGAACATGAATCACTCAGTGTCAGTGTTGTGCAGGTGTAGTGGCAGCTTTGAGCGGCCTCTGTTTAGGGAAGTTTATGGGGCAGCTAGAGGGCGTTGACAAAGGTTGTCTGCAGAATGCGAGTGAGTATATCCGCAAGCCTGATGGAATTATTGGCATTGGTGCCCAAAGCAGTCGAGACCACTTCGTCATTGGAAGGCGACCGTGGCAGACCTCAAGCGGCAGCGGAAGAAGCTGCCGAATCCAGATGGCGACTAGTGGGTGCGATCCAGTGTTGGGACGCGGGCCTTCAGGAGCATAAGTGGTGCAGACTCCGGGCCCTCAGATAACCAGGTATGATGCTGTTCAGGCTGAAGAGCTCAACTGCATAGTGGGAGGCAGACAGCTGCTCAACAAGCAGGGGCGGTTTCGTCGTGATTTTTTGGCGTATGTACGATGCTGCTGTCAGCAGGTATCAAGGAAGAATCCGGAACCTAAGACAAACAAGAACATATCGAAAGTTTCAACTGTTTCGACCAAACCCACACTCTAAACTCTAAGCCAAGTCTGCAAAGACCCTAAAGCAACCTCAGAGGGAATGTTGGTCTACCCCGGCTGCCAAGGAAGAAGAGCAAGAAGGACGACAAGAAGGCATATGGTATTGGGAATCTCCGTCTGCGGGCCCAACGGTTTCATTCTCGTTGTGGCAGCCCAAGGCATTGACGGACGAGATCAAGCAGATGACCGGCCTCTTGTCTCTAACTTTTAGAGGGCCTGAATCTTTAGAACAGGGTTTCGGGGATATCTTGCAACACACAAGTAGCACAAGTACAAAGATGTACAAAGGGCCACAATTGGCCACTATTGCTAACTCTTCGGGAATTCTCACCACTGTGAGTTCGCCGACTGTGATGGTTTGTCCGATTTTGGCTCCGACATGGGAAGTGACTAGAAAGCCACTGCCGTTGTTCCTGCATACTCCGGCAAGCCATTCAAGCCAGCGCATTTCATTTCGAAGCCCGGTGTTGGAAGGGGGGTTTGCCGTCTTGCGAATTTGAGAAAACAAGGAGACCTACATCTCCATGCTCAAGCAATCGGAACGACATGGATTTTGCTTGTAACAAAGCCCTTATGACAATCAAGGTGAAAAGAAAACCCCACAGAAGCTTTCGGGTTTAGGGTTTAGGGTCCCTTAGGGATCTGGCCGGGCGAGCTCAGTTCAAGCCTGTGGAAAAAGGGTCCCTTAGCTTGTCCCATGGCTTGCAGAATCATTCAAATTCCCAACAAGACTCTTACAGAGCCCTCCCTTAAAACACCCTTTCCTAAACCCTAAACCCTAAACCCTGAAAGAAACCCTAAAAGTGGCCTCAGATGAGCTCCGGAAGCGGCATGCAGCGGAGCTCGGCGACGGAGGGCAGGAAAGGATTTCGGGGTATTAGGGTTTAGGGTTTGCGGGGGGGGTTGTCGTTCCACAGTGTCGCGTGTGAGTGCAGTGGGCATGTAAAGTGCTCCATGGCTGAAGCATCTCTCAAGTCAAGCTGTATGATGAAATGCATTTGGCTTTGGGGGGGGGGCGACTTTTCTATGGCTCCACTAAGCCCTGGGTAAGCCCGCTCATTGAACGGTTGAAGCACTGCTTTGCCTTGGTGTGTGTGTGTGTTCCTGCGCAAAGCTCCGACTCTTCTATGCAGGATCTCGGTGACGACGATGATGCTCAGGAAGATGAAGAGGATATGTCAGACGACGAGTGAGCCGCGAGACAAAACAGTCCATTGCTGACATCGCCGAGGTTCGAGTGTTTCATGCAGCCGCACGTTACATCCTTGCCTCTAACAGCCTATTTCTCAGCCTCTTTGACCCTGGCATATGCCTTTGGTCCCAGTGCCATGCGGGCTTTCAGAACGATTGCTAGCTGCTAGCTGAACTTTGGACAGCACCTGCCCAGCTTCAAGCCCTCGGCCGTAGGCTTCTGAAGCCCAATGCGTAGTCTGTCAGAGACAGAGGCATTGGCCGTAGATGTGTTAGAAAAACTTTTGTGGCGACAGGGTAAGTGGACCGCAGCCATGGCAGCCGCAGACATTGCCAGTGCCGGGGTCGGCGGCTCAGACATGCGGATGAGATCTTCCAACCGAACGAAAGAGACGCTGGCCCTTAGCCATGAGAGGTATCGTGTACCTACTGGGTGATTTTTCCGTTGTAACAACGCTACTAACAACAGCCAGGCCAACAGTGGTCGTTATGGCCTGTTGTTGTCACAACAAGGAGGATACCACAAAGCAGTCGGAGATTCCGTTGCTTGTTACTGATTTCACTGTAGCGATGAGGATGTGGTGAGCAAAGCATACCTGAATATTGCAGGTGCAGTTTGCCCCATGGCGGATGTTTGCGCCGGTCTACCTGATCACCCTTCTGTATGCCGGGCCTTCAGCATTGTTTTCAATGAATTTTCTGGGATAGGTGTTGGTTTGCCATTTCCCTGCATTGGAGAGGTTGCCGTAGGGTCCGACAAATCGGTTCTGCAAACAGGAGGGTGTAATCAGGCTGTGTCTCCGCACCGCGCACACCAGGAGCGTTGCATGCTGCTTTGTTCTTAGGCCGGCTTTTCCTTTCCGGCAGCTGCTCTTCTCGCGGTGCAACCCTGAGAGTTGTGTTCCACACCTGCTCCCTGACGCGCATTTCAAGGCAAGCTTGCCTGTTTCTTTTGCCGAGGTGCTGCTGCCGAGTATGGTGTCTGGGCCCGCGTTTGGCAACGATCTATAGGTTTCTCTACCTACAACTTACAGTAGCCGGAGAGCAGAAAGTCTCAGTTCAGGTCTAACCAACAGCCGCATCAGCCACCAAAGTCGAGATCAGAGTAAGGATGGCCATCAGCTTGAGCATCCACACTAGCTGGAATAGCATCGATAATACTATCGGCAGGACAGTAGTACCTGTGTCGAAGAGCAACATAGTAAGTAACATTGCGCTGATGACAAGTTTCTAGTATCTATTCCTGAAGATGTTTCCAGCGCCACTATCGCCACCAGACCACCACCAGGAGCATCACAGTTAACAAATGATAGAAGAGGGAGATGAGAGGTTCAAAGAGCATAGTAGTCAACCATCTAGATTTGTCGGTTGTCTACCAGCTCCTTCCCCCCCCCCCCACAACCGGCATGCTCATGCGCACCCATTCGAACATGCGTAACAAAAGAGTTGCACATCAATCCCGACTATACGGGATTGCATGGGAGACATGGCAGTGGTGAGTGCTAAGGGTGGGGCAGTGAAACATAGGACAGAGAGCCCACATGAATCGAAATATGGTTTCTGTTATCTATCGCAGAACCTGCGCAACTCCTGCCTGTGCAGCCCTTCGCACCTTTGTCATCTGCCGCGGAGTCCCGACGAGAACGCGTCCGAAAGCGTGCCGTCTGCGCAGCACTGCTGTCCCTACACTTTGTGGCCTTGCCGGTGACTAGCCCGTAAAAAGCTGCTTTTCGACCCCTGCAGCATTCGAAAGTCGGTGATGATGATGATCCGAAAATGTTCTCTAATATCTCGGCCTGGTGTTCCTCGCACTTCCTGTATGTGTTTTGGCAACCCCCACCGATCGTAGCATACATAAGGATAGTAGGTCTCAACCGACCCAGTTTGGGATGCGAGGGGCGACGGCCACCCCCCCACCCCCTCTCTCACCCCTTGCCTCCCCCTTCCCCCACAAACGTTCCTCCATCATCATCCCCTTTCCCGGGTTCCCCTTACCAGTTACTACTTTCCACTTCCTGCTTACTACTTGCCGCTCGCAACTCGCTACTCACGACTCCCGACAAACTGCTGATCACTCTCTACCTCATGTATGGGGGTGGGGGGGGGGGGCGGGGTTGTGGTACGTGTCCCCCTGGGCCAGGAGAGGTGCATGGTGGGCTGGGGGTGGTGGTGAAGGTGGTGGGGTCTCTCGAGTCCAGGGGCTGAGGGAGGATCCCCCCCCCGAGCTTGAAGCGACCGCGCCGACAAAACTGGGTACTCTCTCCATACAGTGGCTTGACGGGATGTATATCGCGGAAAAGTTACAGGACTCACAAAGAAAGGGTGCTTCGCAACCAGAGATGATGACAGGGACCGTAGCAACCAGTAGACCTGAGTGAGAAGGACGCGGGCAGGCTTTGAGGAAATATGTGAAAGATGTGAAGGGTTGCGGTGGGTTTGCAACCAGGAATCGGTCAAGTCGAAAGAATGAGTGATAAACAAAATTATTACGACCCTCATAAAAAAGCCTTTATAGTTTTATCAAGAGAAAGCCCTGATTCTGATCATAGACCCCGTATGCCTGCTACAACAACAACAGCGAGCGCAGGTTTTCGAGTTGTCCTTGACCTGGCGCACAGCTCTCGTCGTAATTGTTGTTTCGGCTGTCAGCCTGCGGGTACCGGCCCAAGCTTGATACAACCATGGGCTTTAGGATTCAGGACTTGGGGGGTGTACGGCTTGTGGGTTTCAGGGATTTTGAGGGTCGGAGTTCCCAAATGTTAGGTTCCATGCTCGATGCCATTACGTCGGTGTTCAGGCACAGCGCGAGCAAGAAGTGGAATGTGGTCCCCCGGTAAGACCGATCATGATCAGTGAAACAAGAGGAAACGGTCGAAACAGCAGTAACCATCACCAGCGAGAGTGACCAACAAATGCATGCAAGAGACGGTAGCCGTCACAATAGTCAGGGCCGGTAGGATAAGCACAGCTGTAATATTGACATTAAGGATACCAGGGACAGAGGCGGCAGCAGCAGCAGCAGAAACAAAAATAAGAAGAACAACAACCACTTGAAGGACCCCACATTTTGCAATGATGTCCCTCAGTTGTGCCAACAGGTCGCTAAAGAGCCGCTTCTTGGCCGCAGACGAAGCTCCGCAGGCTTCCGGAAAAAAGGAGTCAGGCTTGTAGGGTTTTGTAGTGTCATAGGATGTCGGTCTGGGAGTTGGTCTCCCTTTTAATTTTAATAGTGAAATATGTTATGTTGGGGTTTCAATTTAAATTCAGTTTTCATGAGCTAAACCCCTGGGGCCATAGGCTCAGAATTGCAATTCCTTCAAAACCCCCTTAAAATTTGCGAAACCCTTCTCAGAGATGTCCCCTGAAAGCTCAGAAAGCGGCTGCAGCCCAGGGGGGCCACCATGGCTGCCAAGTTCCTTCGGGACATGGCCAGATCTAAGCCCCTTCTCTGCATTGTTTGGGTTTAGGATTTGGGATTTAGGGTTCTTGGGTTCAGGGTTTAGGATTTAGGGTTTAGGGTTTGGGACCGAACAGAATGACACAAGGAAGTCCTACGACTCAGGCTGAAAGTGCTGGTTTCAAGGCTACTTTCGACTTGAATTTGGCACACAACGAATGCAAAAAATAGCTGCCAAGAGTCTTTATATTTGTTATAGAGATGACTGCTCCAAGATATGCTCAACATCCTTAGCCCTTCTGAACTGACTCTGAACCCTCCTTCCCCAACCATTATAGAAGCCGTATAACCTTCTTGAACCGGAACAGCGAGCCCCAAAGACAAAATCACGGCATCAAGCACTTATGGATCCCACTAGCGTCTGCATTCACCACATAAATCCGAAACCCTGAACCCAAAAACCCTGAACCCTAAATCCTAAACCCTAAATTCCCAAACCCAAACA